ACAGCAATTTCAGCAGTATACTTACTCTTGGGTGCGCTCCCCATAGAGGCAGAAATTCACAAAAGAGTTCTTAGCCTGTTCCACTCCATCTTTTCATCTAATAACGAGAATCTAAAAAAGGCTCTAGAGAGGCAATATGTCCTGCAAACACATGAACTAACTTTCCTTAACAGAGTAGCAGATCTTTTATACATGTATAATCTTCCTCCATGGACTTATCTGAAAGATCAATTGCCATCAAAGTTATCATGGAAATGCAAGGCAAGAGAAGCAATAAACAACTACTGGAAAGTGAATCTTCAAAGGGACGCCAATAGCAAAACAACACTAAAATTTCTCTGTATCCCTAATTTAGACATTGGAAAACCTCATACTATCTGGAATAGTCTACCACCAAATATTGGCGAACTCAGGAAAGCAACAATAAAAGCAAGGCTATGCACAGGGACATATATATTTCAATCACAGAAAGCTCGTTTCTCAAATATTAACCTTGATGCAACTTGCCCAATTTGTCAACTGGAAGAAGAAGATATCATCCATTTTCTCACTCGCTGTCCCGTTCTGGAAGGCATACGCAGAGAATCTCTAAGTGTTATCAAAAGAATTACCATCAGTAAAATTGGGCTAGGAAACTGGAATTCCAACTTTCACGAGAGAACTTGTATTGCCCAACTAATTTTGGATTGTCAGCAACTGGCTCTAAACAATATTCTCCCTCATGATAACCTTTTTCTTAATTCAATAGAAGAATTAAGCAGGAACTTATGTTATAGACTCCATCTAAAAAGAGTGTCTTCTCTTAATGTCTAGTTGTCATAAGGTCAGTGTGGTTGTACCGCGCTAAACCTTAAACAACTATCTTCAACTTCATAAAATAAAATATGGCTTTTTTCTCCAATCTAAGGAATAATCATTTATGCTTCTTCGACAGTACAACTAGGTCAGTGTGGTTGTTCCGCGCTAAACCTAACATCAATCTTTTACACAGAATTAAATGCTGCGAAAATCTAAATGTTCAAATCTTCATTTAATTTAGGTTAATATGGCTGTTCCGCGCTATACCTTCAATTGCTTTCTTTAACTCCGTAAAATGAAACAACTGAAACAACGTTTATCTTTAATCTAAAGTCATCATAAAGGTTTTTGGACAGAGCAACTAGGTCAGTGTGGGTGTTCCGCGCTAAACCTATCAATCCTTTACGTAAAATTAAATGCTGAGAAAATCCATGAAATTTTAGAATAACTGGTCAGTGTGGTTGTGCTGCGCTATACCTATAGTTGGAATAAATGTACATGTTTATCGTTAGCTTTAATACCCAGTAGCTTCACATATATATATATATAACAGATAGATAATGGCTATGCATAATTAGATCGCTTAGGACATATAAGCTTATATGCATGATTTTGTTGATTTTATATCGCCTAGTAGTGCTCATAGACAGATGTAGTAACTCCAGCATGTAGCAGGCAGGAAGCTGAAAACTCGTTATTTTTTACCTTTAAGTAACATTGTTTAGTAAATGTAAAGATTTTTTACTATAATGCATGCCCTGTAAATAATATTCAAAACTTTTTTATTTTTAAAAATTTTATTAATAACTTTTAAACTGTGACCCATTTTAATGTACATAGAAGTTATTATTAGTATCTTTGCAGGGATTTAACTGTACATAATGTTATTTTTAAATAGTTAGGTATTCACTTAATAATTTTTATAAGGATTAACCAACCTGAATTCAGTAAGGTTGGTGTACTCCAACTATTGGAGGAAGATATAGAGGAAAGAAAGAAGAAGGCTGTTATAGAGACTCTACTAGAGTTGCGAATCTCTTGTATTATATGTCTCTGCAGTTACTGACATGCCAGCTCCAGACCTTAATTAAACAGATTGAAAGATTATGTCTTCATCATATGAACATCAATCCCTCCCGTAAGGGGTTTAGTATCATACCATGTTTTTATAATTACCACTAGTGTTTTTGGTTTACTTCTAATGTTTCTATAACAGTTATGATCAAATTTCATAGTACAGTGATCGCTTTTTGCCCAGTGGACTTAGGTATTCTAAATTCGAGATCATTTGTTCTTCATTGGTCAAAATTAGGTCTAGGGTCTAGAAATGAAAGACCAAAAATGATCTATAAACCAAATAAATTGTCTAGTTCTGCATTTCCTCACCTGACAACCCCAACCCTCATTTCTTAACAGAGGATAAACTTTAGATGAAGAATCAAGATATCAAATTAGGATAATTTTATAACAGTATTTAATGAATAAACTTTGTCTTAAAAATTATCACTGGTTCTAAAGGGAGCAACCATTTAACTTCCGGGGGTGGGGGTTATGGCCTTTTTGAGTCAAAAATTTTTTTTTGCACAAAGCGCAAACATTTTTTTTACTTTTTCGACACAATCAATCAAATTATTTTTTTCAAAATTTAACACTATAAGGTATGTGGAAAATCTGGATTCAGAATATTTATTTTTTGTCATCAAATTGGGTTTTCAGAATATTTTTTTAGGAAAAAACCATAACCCGTCCCCATTGAAGTGAAATGGTCGTTCCCTAAGAAGATATTTAAAGCTTATATCAATCGGACTCCTTTTTGGAGCCAAAATGAACTGTTCAATTTCAGGACCTAAGCAACAACAGTAGTAACTGCACCAAAGTACTTACAATTTATATAAAGGACATTGAAAGAGCATTTGTGAAGTTATTTTCAATTGGTTCATTTTTTCTTATAGAAATAAATCTTTGAAATTTGAAGCAATCGTATTTTTTACTCTTTTTTGGATCATTTGAGCCATATTGGACTCAGGTCCAAAGTAACACAGCTTAGCAAGCATCTTCTCAAGACCATTTACACATGGTTGCATTTCATCATCACTTCATTTATAATTATTATTTTAAAAACATACCAGGTACTTTCCCTTAGGGTTACAATGTAAACTTGAACCTTGCTGGTTTAAGATGAATTAACAATTTATTTGCAAAGTCACCAGCTACACTAGAATAGACCAGCTCCATTATACCTGTTGATGAATCATCATCAGAGTAACAACACTTAGGCAGGACAATAAACAATATTTCTGCCAAGTTTTGATTCAATTTGTTCAGTGATTATAAAGAAGAAGACAAAATTGTGAACTGTTAATGGAATGATGACAATGGCACACATCACGTTGTTTCAATAGCCAACATGGTCTTTGGGGTCAAAACTGGAGAAAACTTATTTCAAACAGAATAGCACATCCTAAATTTAACGATGATGTTGTTAACCGAGCCCGGAAATTTAGATATGATAGGGTAAACTTATAAATCCTTTTAATAAACTTATTCTAAAAGGTTACCTATTCAACACGGTAATTAAATATTTGAATATTGTTTTTATTGGTATAAATATTGATTTTGTTATCAGTAAATTAAAACAATACTAAATATTACATATATGTACTTTCACAGTACTGCAATCTGTCGATACCTATATTTTAGCATTCACAAGATCATGTTTTTCTCTGACTGTTAATGACGTCTTTACACTAAATCCATTGGATGTTGGATGTGTACTGATTGATATTTTAGTCTTAGATACATGATTTTTTTATTAGTTGTTATTGGCTTTGAACTAGCTGCCAGTTACTGCGAGTACTTTCAGATCTGTACTCAGTGTCACTTGTTGTAAGGGATGAGGGATGGATATATACCTGCCACGTCCTGTCTGTGTTTTTGTTTGATGTATTTCTTTGTATCGATCTGATGAGTTAAGCCTTTTTCAACTGATTTTTATAGTTTGTTCTTGTTGTGCTGTTACATCACTGTCCCAGGTTAGGGGAGGGTTGAGTGCTCACAAACATGTTTAACCCCACCATTTTCTTTATGTGCCTGTCTCAAGTCAGGAGCTTGTAGCTCAATGACTGTTGCTGGTTGACGTCTGTAACATTTGTTTTTCGTAAATTGTTTTGTTATAAACTAGGTCGTTAGTTTAATTGAATTGTTTCATATTTTTCATGTCGGTGCCTTTTATAGCCGACTATACAGTATGGGTTTTTCTCATTGTTGAAGGCCGTATGGTTGCCTATAACTGCTCTTTATTTGAACTTTGATGGATAGTTGTCTCGCTGGCAATCATACCACATCTCCTTATTTTTATAAAAGCTCACAATGTTTTTGGCCTGGTAAGTTAAAAAACTTCTTTAATTCAAGATTTATGAGTATATACATACCAGGTAATATATCATGTTTCTTCCATAATTCTTTTACCTTTAACAAATAGTTGGTATAGTTTAGTTTTTATTGTGATAAATAACAGTTACACAGTGTGCTCCTGACCTAATACAATATATATGGGGTCAGTAAATTCCATATGGGGCAAGAGAGAGTAAACCTTGAGCCATATATAGAATTTACTGACCCTGTTTATATAGCACACCGTGTAAGTAATTTATCTTACCCTCCACCCCCACTATTTTAATATAGGGAATTTAGATGTAATTGTAATAATAATAAATATCTTTCAGTTGTTGTTATAGTAATCAATATGAGTCATTAAAGCAATATTTGGCGTCTGGTGGACTATTAATCATAAAAAGAACAAAAATTGATTTCTGAATTTTTTTTAAGCATTGTTCCTATTGGAATATGCGTTTATTTTTTTGTGTTTGTTTAGTCATAGAATACATTTACATAATTTAAACATCGTCATTTCCAGTTTTTATTTGTCAAACACACAAAAAACATATTTCAATAGGAACAATGTTGAAAATTTTGTAAGAAATCAACTTTTAATATACGAATCAGTGTTTATATTGAACAGATCGAAAACATATTATTGATATTGAATAAATACAATATTACATGCAGTTTTGTGAGTTGAAACTTGTATTTTCATGTACTTAGAAGATATTTTTTTCTTAAGGTAAACCAATCAATGAGTGATGGATTTCTTTTATTTGTTTATTCCTGTTTTGACATGCTAGGCAGAGAATTGCAAGACATTTGTGATCTACTAATATTTTATTGCAAAATAAGGCAATCACTATTTGTGTTACCATTTGTATACATTGAAATTCTTATCAATTCTGACTTGTAAAAATGCATTTGTGGAGATTTGTATGCAGTATCTAATTAAATGTTCATAAAAAGAAATATTTCCATATTGTACATGTGCATATATAATTAATATACATATTGTTTAGATTAAGCTGAATGTTTTGTCAATTACCACAACAATATGTTTATATACTACGTGCATTGTACATCAGATTTTATAATGTATTATTAAATTAATATACATATTGTTTATCTTTAGCTGAATGTTTTGTCAATTACCACAACAATATGTTTATATACTACGTGCATTGTATATCAGATTTTATAATGGCTGAGCTATCAGCAAATCTTGCTCATGATTTAAAACATTAAAAAACAAATTAGGTACAGAATATCAAACAAGATGAACCAGAATTTTAGAGAATTATTGTTAGTTTTGTATGAACATAACAAAAACAAAATTGTTAATGCCTTCTTTAATTTCACAATCAGTTCAAAACTTTTGTATTGAGAAAATAAAATGATTGGATTATAACAGAAAACAGTTTAACCTGACTGAAAATGGCCAAAATAACCCAATACAGAAACTAAATGAACTACCTCAAAATACTGAATAGCATTACAATATTCAAGGGCAGTATTAACATGATAGAAGATTGCTGCTTTCAAGAAAGCGATGTAACAAATCTTAATCCTAATTTGAAGTCATCTCTTTCAAGTTTTATAGATGTTAGCATGATCTGGTTGACTGTCATAAGATATGTGTCACAGTAATAATCCTACTTATCAATGGAGTTTGACTTGTTAGAACTGTATTATTGCACTTACACTGAAATCTTTCCTTCAGCCAGATAAAAAAAAAATAAATCTGTTGAAACATCAACACCTGACCTCAAGATCTCACACATTACAATACAACTTGAAAAATGTATTATAAATCAAATATTTTTAAGATATCATAATTTAGGCATGAACTTAAGTTTTCTAAGCACCATATAGATAGAGAGATAGCATTATGATAGTGGAAATTTTTTTTTTTCCTGCATTTCCATATCAGAAATAAGTTGCTAAAAAGTGCTCAAAATAAAATATAATAAAAACCTATTTGGCCCATGCCAAAAATATTTCAACAGTTTGGTGATATAAAAATGTGTGGCAAATTAATAATCTATACTTTCCTTGCCACATATATTCCTACAGCAAAAAGCCTTGTGTGGCAAATCTTCTCATAGTGGATAAGAAAACTATGCAAAAGCTTGATTGAACAATAATATTTACGATCATAATCCTAAACAACTTGCAAGAAGTTTTTCTACAAATGTAAATAATTTTTTATCTTTTGTCAATGGTTATCCACACTTCTTCACTAGGATGTGTTACAAGACCATGAACAGGAGTAATTACTTGACCCTCAACCATATTAAACTTGAACTTTCTTAGTAAGGTCACAAAGCAAACAGTAGCTTCAGCATAAGCAAATCTATATCCAGGACAAATCCTTTTCCCAGCAAATCCAAAAGGTTGGAAAGCTAAACTTTGTCTCTTCTTACTGTTCTCTTCACTAAATCTATCAGGATCAAATCTACAAAATTATATATAATTTTATTTAATCTACAACAGTGAGTATTTTTTAATCACAACTCAAAATTGGAATTTTTTTCTTTCATTTTAGAGGATGTCTAGATGTGTTTAAATACATACTAGCTTGAAACTTGTCGTTATTTTGATTTCAACAAGAGATTCATCAAAAATTTTAGCTTCTGAAATCAAATTTTGTTATACAGTTGAACCTCGTTGTGTCGAACTCGGTTATGTTGAAAACTCTGATGAGTCAAGTAATTTCTCGGTCCCGGTAAAATTCCCGTTTGATCAATGAATAATTACCTCTGATGAGTCGAACCTCGGTTGATTCGAAAACTCGGTTAAGTCGAGTAATTTTTATTGTCCTGTCAATGTAAAATTAATGTAAATTGACCCCGATGTCTCGAAGCTGCAGACCTAATGATAAAAATTCAAATCAGATGTTTTTCTTATGTAACCTAATCCTTTTCAAAAGAGATTAAAGCTGAGTAATTATACTTGTTTGTATAAAAGTTAAAATGACATGTTTATGGTGACCGGTAATTAACACCGTGTGTTGAACATATTTCACCTGACATAAACACGAAACGAATTGAAATGACCCCAGCCGAGATTAAATAAATCGTTAGACTTTAAAATTCTTTAATTACAATAAATAAAAGGATTAAGACAATTATGATAAATTCATAATAATTCAAGGTAATGCAGATGACCTGACCTCATCAATGACCGTTCAGAACCTGTTTCGTTCCAAGATTGATTTCTTAATTTATAATGACTGACCTTTGTAAATATTTGTGTATACTATTGATTTTATTTGTGCATGATTTGTATCTGTACTTGTGTGTTTAAATGATTATGAAGGACCAAAAAATATGGAGATTGAATACACAATCATAGAGTGCCATATCGAAAATAAAATGCTTCGCTGAGCGCAGCCTGATATGAACGCAGAGGTTGAACCCTGAACAGCTGGGGCAAATTTGGACACAATATTCATGCTTGATACTGTCTGAATTTGAATTGTGATCAAATTTTTGAAATAATATAGGTTTCTGACACAAAATAAATGTGGTCAAAGATCTTAAAAATCTATTGCGCAACACTGGCCAAAGATCTTAATCAAAGAGCTGATTGCTCTGAGGTGGAAGAAGATGCATTAAAGGTAACTTGAATTACCATAAGAGCAGCCCCACCAAACCAGTCTGCTTTGTCCCATTATTGCTTTTGACGTATTTTTTTCTTCAAAAAATAGACTCATAACTCAACCAAAACTCACTATACTTAACATAAAAATCTGCAAATACTGTTGATTCAAATTAATTTTTCTATAACTAGATTCCATACATTTGTTTGGAAAGTTCAACTTGATGCAATGCAAATTCGCCAAGCAATTATAACATTAATTGATTTGGTTTCACTTAAAAGTTTTCTGTCAAAGGTAGATAGTTGACCTTAAAAAAAACTGGCTACCAAGATTTTAGTCAAGTTTGCTTAAACTAGGGTTTTCATTATAAACAGATATTGAAAAGTTCTAAATATATCCAATGCAGATATGTGTCAGCCCAAGAATTGGGTTTTGGGCACTTATCAGCATTTCAAACTGGTTCCGTACTCGAGCCTCGATAATGGGTGTACCTAAATGACGAATAACAGTAAAGAGCTGGACAATTTAGTTGTTAAGATCCCGTTATTGGTCACTTATAAAACTTTGAATCGTAAGGGAATAAAGACAATCATTGGGGACATTTCGACAATGACTGATGGTGCATCATTTGATGTGTAACACACCAACAGATTCACGTGTGCGCTTGACTCTTTATTATCGCAAAAACATTCGTATTAAAAAACATGTTGTCTAAAACTGGAATATGACTTGATTGCATTAAAGATCTAAACGTAGACGTAAAAACCCAATCCGTGTATTTTTTCAAGCATCATTGATTTGAAGTCGTACTCTCCACGAAGATACTTGACTTTAACACAAGATGGATTGTATGAATATATGCAATTCTGTTTATCAATATTTTGAAGGGGCCTCGGTGGCCGAGTGGTCTTAGTAGTTACTACTGTAATCACTAGCCAGTCAACACTGAGGTTGTGAGTTCGAACCCCGCTCGAACGGGTGCACTTGAATCCAATCTTAATTGACTAGGATTGTCAGTTTTCCTATCGAAAGTCGGTGGTTTTCTCCAGGCACTCCGGCTTCCTCCAACAAGAAAAACTGGCCAACACGAAATAGCCCAAAAGCGGTGCTTAAAAGTGGCGTTAAAACACCAAAAATCAAATCAAATCAATATTTTGAAACTTTCGTACGCACAAATTGTCAATTAAATTTCCCATTCGTGCACATGCGCAGATATGTAACCAACATGGTTTAGATTAACCCGAATAATCCAGTTGTTTTATTCTGATAATTCCAATCATTAATCTACTAAAGACAACTATTACAACAATCAGAGAATTATTATCATGACCTATTAATGCTCCAAGACAAGCCATCAACTTTTAATTATTTTTTTTCATGTGTTTTCATGAATTTCGAGAATTTATACCATATAAATATCTGAATAAGTTTATTAAAATTGAATACCCTTAATATTAATATTTTTTAATAAATGAAAGGATGTATAAAACGTCATTGATAAAAGTAAGTAGAAGGAACTTAGGGCGAATGTACTCTATGGGCGAAAGAACTTAGGACGAACAGACCAAGGGCGAACATTTAAAAAAGGCGAATCGACCCGATACCAAAATCACATACGCGTTCTACAATAATCTACATTAAAAACATCCTGTTACAACAGGACCATATATATATGAGATATACTGTTCCCAGGTTACAAGTAAACAAATAACGTTCATGTAAAATGAGATGAAATCTTATAATTTACATAAATAAAGGGTACTGTGAAAGTACTTTTATTCGTGGGTATCAATTTTCGTGGTTTGAGCAAAAGTTGCATGTTTGTGGGTTCTTAAATTCGTGGATTTAAGTTTTTTGAAAGAAAAAAAAATTGGGTGAAGAATGTGAAGCCATCTGAGACGAAAACTTGTGAAAATAATCGTAGTAGTTTTATAATAATTTCTGGGACATTTCAAAATACGGTGTTCATTTTCACCTACTTGTTCATCTTTCATTACTGACAACATTCATTAAGCTTTTAATAAGATAATTGCTTTCTGAAATAAGCCGATTCATCTATTCTTACAAATTTTCTCGATTGAAGGAAATTGCAGAGTAAACAATTTGTTTAGGGGCCAGCTGAAGGACGCCTTCGGGTGCGGGAGTTTCTCGGTGCATTGAAGACCCATTGGTGGCCTTCGGCTGTTTTCTACTCTATGGTCGGGTTGTTGTCTCTTTGACACATTCCCCATTTCCATTCTCAATTTTAATTTAATTGTTGCACACGGGTAATCAGAAGTGATGACACTAATTAACCCGAGATTGTCTGATCAACAGATTAACGGTCACCAAAGGTGTTAATTGAACCATAACTTGTTCCTTAAAGAAAATGGTAACATAAAAAAAGCTACAAATGGAATTTGAATTTGCTTGAGAATTAAAAGGTTGAAATTCGTACTGTTAAGGTTTTTTAAAGATTAGATGGACAGAATTCTGTCTGAAGTTGCATCTTTAGTTCATAGTGCGTTTGCTGATATTCGATGTAGTCAAACCTAAGGTATTAAATGATGCAGATGCTTAATCATGTGTAAAAATCGGTGTCACGAAATGGCACGGAAGTTGTAATGAAATTGTAATACACAGAAAGGGATACAGCATACAACCTGGTAACGGTTCAATGATTTTACAGTCGGCAGTAAAGGCTTTCAGAATACTTGAAGTCTTCTTCCACCAAAAATCTATTGTGCAATACTGTGCAATTGAAGATTTCTTCTTGAAACTCTTCAAAAATTTGAAATTTGAAAAATTTTGAAAAAAAAAAAATGAACCCCCTAAAAAAATTAGAACCCCCCCTCACCAATGGAGCAATTACTCCCAAACTCATCCCCAGCCTTTTCTTCGTAGTATGGAACCTTGTAGTACAATTTTAGAGAGATCCATACACTTAAACACAAGTTATTGTCTAGAAACTAGAAAAATGCTTGTTTTTGGCCCCTTTTGTGCCCCTAATTCCTGCATGTTTGGGGCAATTACCCCCAAACTCAATCCCAGCCTTCCATTGTGATATAGAACCTTGTGGTAAAAAGTCAGAGAGAGCCATACACTTACACAAGTTATTGTCCGGAAACTACAAACTACCATAACCCCCAAAATCAATCCCAACCTTCCTTTTGTGGTATTGAACCTTCTTGTAAAATTTCATACAGATCCATTCACTTAAACTAAAGTTATTGTCCGGAAACCAAATTTTCCCCTTGTCATAACGAGGTTAGACTGTATTTACTTTCACCCAAGACTGAACGAAATCATTAAAAATACCAGACACGAAATATGAACAAGAAACAGAAACGCATGTTTATCATATGATATATTGTCAAATACTAAAGTTTTACTGTCATAAATTTTAACTTTTGATCCAAGTTTAGAAGCCATGATGTAATCAAAGGAGAAGGTCCGGTAAGGGCTTATTTTGGCCTAAAATTTGAAGTACATCTGATGAAAGATTTTTGACATTTTCTAAAAATTTAAGTGTCTTCTTCAGTCTATTCAATTAGTTTATGTAAAAGATTTGAACTGATTTGGTCATTAAAGTTGCCTAAATTCAAGCTTCAATATGAAAAATCCATCAAATATGCCACAAAACGTCACTTTTCAGATGGTTTTGGTCTAAAATTGAAGTGGGCACAAGTTCGGCCACTTCCATTTTAGACAAAAAACGTCTAAAAAGCACAAATGCTAAAATTGTGAAGGTTTCACTAGTTTTGCATGAATAATGACGCTTGTATCTGATGCATGTGCAGTGTACTGTTAAAAACAAGCCCATATCTATGTAACAAAAGTATTCTTCTTTCCAACAAAAAGCTAAAAGTTTACATTTTTAACAAATTTTTAAATAACTTGATTCAAATTCGAGTTGACAAATTATCACTTAATCGGCGCAAGGCTGTTTACATGTCACACATATCGGCAAAATAGCATTTGTGTTGCAAAAGATGCATCCCATGCAACAAGCGGCACAGTCTAGTTTTAAGGACCACAAAGCCCGAGAAAGATCGTTCTCTGTTTCGGTCAGGTAGTAATCCAATGATGAAATTTCTTCCTTGGACAGACGGAACCACTCTGGAATTCCCAATAAAAGTTTAAATTGTTCCAAAACAGCGGCCATAGTAGGAAAATGTTCTAGACTTACATATCAGTTTTGAATGCTTAAGATTCCTGTATGTTAAAATAAATCAAAAATAGTTTCTGCTGAAAACTTTGCTGCTTACAGCCACGCCAAATTGAAAGTGAAGTGAGCGCACTTTGTTTCAAACAATTTCTTAATTAATCATGTGACTGGTCAACATGAGAGCCCCCTTTCCATTGGTTTCAGTCAGTCTCTTGACCAAATATGGACTGACGTCCGAGAGGCAGACATGCCCCAGCTGTAATCCAACACCACCTTTGTATGTTGGGAAGTTTCCCTTATCAGTGCCCCATAGAATGCATACGTCTGATAGTGATTTTATTTTGATTAATAAAATATTTGACTAAATACCCCATAAATTCCCCAAAAATATTGTGGTCAAGTTGAACAAGTTTGAATATGATTTTTGGTTTAAGTATAAAATCTCTACTGTGTCAACAATAATACAGTATGGACATCTTATAGAAAAATTTAATACATTAATTCAGACATTGAATATATGTACATGTAGTTTGCCTACCATGAACCAGCAACGTTAATCAATATTAAAAAACATACTTTCATTTACATCTAGTTTTATAGTCCAGGGGTGGATCCAGGATTTTAGGTTAGGGGGGGCGCAAACTTAAATTTTTTTTAGGTAAAATTATCGAAATATTCTTTAAGCTAAGAACAACCCATGCTTTGCAAATTTTTTTTTTTTGGGGGGTGGGGTGTGCATGTCGCCACACCCCCCGCCTGAATCTGCCCCTGTAATCTTCATTATACTTTATAGATACCTGTTCGGTACTGGCCATATGGCTTCATCTTGCTGTGTCACACCAAGAGCATGGATTACAGGAGTCTGAAAATAAACAATCATTCCTGGATAACAAAATGAATAACATAGTTATTTTTAAATAAATTAAACAAATTATCTCAGTGATTGTATTTGACTTTCTATGAATTCACCAAGGAACTTTGATGTTATTCTCAACCTGATGAAACCCACTGGCACCACTGCACTTCTTTAAGTTATTTTTCTAAAGAATCTTTTTGTTGTCCTTGCAGTAAAGTTTCAAATAATTCTATAGTTTCAGAGAAGATTCTGGAAAACTGTTCAATTGAAATAAAAGAAGACCTATGGTGCCATGTCTTCATTTTCAACAAAATCAAATGAACAGGTTAATAGAGGAGATTTAATACATAATCTTAACAAGCTTAATTTTATAAAAGAGGACATAACTTTCAACTTATAACACAATTCTTATCTAACTTTTAAAACAAATGTGAACTGTTTATAAGTTAACACCAGGTTACAAATTTATAGAAAATCATCAACAGAAAATGAAAGTTTTAAATAAAAAATAATTCTACCTAGTGAAAAACAGATCTCTTGTTGTTTATATAAAAGTAACAGATTGGATATCTTAAATAACATAATTGTTTCAAACAAAGGCCTTTTAATTCATATAATGTATACAGTACTAATGTCAACAGACAACATGATTCTTATTGGTCAAAAACACAAATGGAAATGAATTCAGACATCAAACTTGTCTAAAGATTTTAACAGGTCATTCAAATATACAATATTCGCATATTGGCTTAAATTTTTTAAGTGTGGTGTACTATTCAAGAGGATTGTAGTGATGCAAAATCGTTGATATACAACAATGAAAATATCCTAAAAAAAACTTCAAGCATGAAATACACATAATAGTTCTGAATTCAGTCATGTATAATCAGCAAGGGCACAGATCTAGAATATGCAGTACTACAAGCAAGAAATGAAAGATGTTAATTTTTTTATACATGGTAGCAGTCCCCTAATAACTTTTCAAATTCATGAATCACATATGATCTCTTTATGATTTCCCTTATTCTTATCAATATGAAATTTTATTAAAAATTAAGTATTTACTGTAAAATATTCAAATGTTTCAGTACAAATTTCAGCCTTCTCATATGATTCGAATAAATCTCACTGAACCTGTCTAATGAAGTATAAAGGCAGGAACTTTATCAGTTATTCCTTCAGATTTGGTGTTTCAGACTGCTGCAGATGTTTTCTTTCAGCTAAATGTTCCATTATTACACCCCTATTTAAGGTCAGAGTTTTCTCACACAATATCTTCACACGATTTCCCCTCACTCACACCAAAATTTAGTCAGGAACCTGTAGTGTAGTGGTTGTCCTGGGTTCATGTCTGTCATATTTGTTTTTTGTAAATTGTTTCGATATAAATTAGGCTGTCAGTTTTCTGGTTTAAATTGTTTCCTATTTTTCAGGTTCGGGCCTTTCATAGCAGACAATACCATGTGGGTTTTGACATTGTTAATGGCCATATAGTTGCCTATTATTGCTAACATCCACCTAATTTGAACTCTGGTGGATAGTTGTTTCATTGGCAATCATACAACATCTCCTTATTTTCATATTGTTTCAATTTACACAAACGTTTTCAATTTCTGGTTAATGCCATCTTATTTACATTATATGGCCCAATACTTCTGTAATTGAGCATTAAATAAACAACTCACATTTTTAGGTATTTTGTGTCCTCCTAATTCAGAATCAAAATCCTGGAATCTAGCTCCCCATGGGGCAATGACTGCACATCTTAGCGTCTCATCTATAACTTGTCGTAAATACCTATTCACAATAACAAAATCTATTGTATAAAACATTGAACAGACCCTTTATTTCAGATACCATTACATTAAGTATAATTAAAACTCATGTGGGATAAACATACCCATACATACCTAAAACTGCCAATACTAAAATTTCTCTTATGGTTGTGGCCTGTTATCTATTTCTTGCATGAAGAGATATATCTCGTATAACACTGCACTGAGTGTGATACGGAAACTGCTTTAACTTGATTGGCTTATCCAGCATCATGAGACGATATTCCATTGGCTATTTGTTATGTCATTGATAACTTTCAAAGGTTAAGACATTGCGTCCATAGCAAAGGACATTTGTGATTTCTTCAATAATATACAAAACCCTCACACTTTTCACCTGGAAATCTTCTTTTTGTCAAATTTTATTACATTCTGAAGTGTACAAAAAGTTTTAAAATTACATACAGTCTGCAGTTAAAGTTTCTAAAACATTTATTAGATTCATAAACCATTCTGGATTTTTACCAAACTTGGACAGAAGCTTCTTACAATCAAAAGATAGTATCTATAGGAAAATTTTTAATAATTTTTAAAGTCTGTTTATAAGTAAAATACGGATAAACAGGATTTTTTTTTTACAAAATTTACTTCTGGATACTATCTTATGATTATAAACAAGCTTCTGTCCAAGTTTGGTAAAAAACCAGGATAGTTTAAGAAAGTTATTAAAATTTCAAAAATTTAACCACAGAGTGAATATTTGTGGCCGCCGCCGACAAAGACGGAATTAAGGATCGCTATGTCTTTCTTTTGCGAGAAAAATTCGCAGGCCCGTCAACTAGAAAAACTTAGACTAAATCATTTATACTAGAGAACTGAAATTCATCATTGATAATAGAGAACTAACACTTAATCATTGAAACTAGAGAACTGACACTTAATGACTGATACTAGAGAACTGACACTTAATCATTGGAACTAGAAATAAAGGCAACAGTAGTATACTGCTGTTCAAAAGTCATAAATGGATTGAGAGAAAACAAATCCGGGTTACAAACTAAAACCGAGGAAAACACAATAATTTTAAGAGGAAAACAACGGAACAACAGAAATACTGAAGTGCAACAAAAAACAAACACCAATGCAACATACATAGAAACGAACTATTTGATAACAACTGCCATATTTCTGACTTGGTACAGGACATTTTAAGAAAAAATGGTGGGTTGAACCTGGTTTTATGGCTAAAAAACTGACACTAAATCGTTGATACTTGAGAACTTACAATTATTCATTGATACTAGAAAACTTACACTGAACCATTGATAACAGCGAACTTAAACTAAATCATTGATACTAAATAATTTACCCTTAATCATTGAAGCTAGAGAACTTAGACTAAATTGTTGATAATAGAGAATACTGATACTAAACACTGGCACTTATTCATTGATGCTAGAAAACTTAAACTAAATTATTGATAATAGAGAACTGACACTTAATCATTGATACTAGAAAACTTAGACTAAATCATTTACACTAGAGAACTTAAACTAAATCATTGATACTAGAAAACTTAAGACTTATTCATTGATACCAGAAAAATCACAGACACTAAATCGTTAATACTTGAGAACTAACACTTTATTATTAATACTAGAGAACTTACACTGAACCATTGATACTAGAGAACTTAAACTAAATCATTGATACTAGAAAATTTACACTTAATCATTGATACTAGATAATTTAGACTAAATCATTGATACTAGAGAATTTAGAGTAAATCATTGATACTAGAGGACTAACACTGAACCATTGATACTTATGAACGGATACTATATGGATTTTCACAGGAGATATGGGCTCATATTCCCTGTCAGTGTTTTATATCTTCTGAGCTGCCAGGCGAAGGGGATATAGGGCACTGACAGGGAATATGAGCCCATATCCCACATAAAGCTCGAATAACAATTATAATATACTAGAGTGTCCTGATTTCAACACTTATTACCATGTTTTCTTTGTTTTCCTTCACAGGGGATATGGGCTCGAAATAGGTAACCAATCAAATTGCAGGATTAACCAGGATATTTCACTCCAGTATAATATTAGAGAATTTACACTTAATCATTGATAATAGAGACTTTACACATAACTGTTGTACTGGAGAACTTACTCTCAATCATTGATACTTGAGAATTTACACTTAATCATTGATAATAGAGACCTTACACATAACTGTTGTACTGGAGAACTTACTCTCAATCATTGATACTTGAGAATTTACACTTAATCATTGATAATAGAAACTTTACACATAACTGTTGTACTGGAGAACTTACTCTCAATCATTGATACTTGAGAATTTACACTTAATCATTGATAATAGAGACTTTACACATAACTGATGTACTGGAGAACTTACTCTCAATCATTGATACTTGAGAATTTACACTAACCATCAATACCAGAAAACCAATGTTAAATCATTGATAAAAGAGAACTTACACTAAATCAGACATTGATAAAAGAGAACTTACACTAAATCATTGATATTAGTGTGATCAACATCATCACTTCCGAGGACACTCTTAATTTCTTTCTGAACTTTATCTTGGATATCCTGATGTGTGGCAAGGAAGTAAAAACACCAGGTCAGTACTGTAAACAAAATTTATAAAATAGAAATTATTTACAAGAATTTCAAAATCATCATATAAATCTATGCATAGTTTATAAATAAAAAAAAGGTAAAACAGCCATGATTTTGTAGTATAAATTCCCATGGGGGTTTAAATGTGTGACCAAATTTTTATGGGTTACAATTTCAAAATTAAATCTATTTTTACTTACCAGTCAAGGAATATACATATAGGATTTATCTCCATTACAATGCCCTTATAACTCATAACTGCAACACGACGGGTGCCACATGTGGAGCACGATCTGCTTACCCTTTCGGAACACCTGAGATCACCCCCAGTTTTTGGTGGGGTTCGTGTTGCTTAGTCTTTAGTTTTCTATGTTGTGTCATCTGTACTATTATTTGTCTGTTTGTCTTTTTATTTTTGGCCACGGCATTGTCAGTTTGTTTTTGATCCATGAGTTTGACTGTCCCTCTGGTATCTTTCGTCCCTCTTTCATAAACACCCAGATGATTTGAAACATCTAGAAACACCTAGATCATATGGGTATTCATACTCCTCAGTTAATCTTTCAGCAGCAACAAAACAAGACATGCTGACTTCGTTTGAGACTTATGGGATAATCTTGTAGTCTTTTTATTTATGTACTACAATGTATTGATACAGTATGTCCTGTATTGTTGGAAGATGGCAGAAGAGCCAAGACACTCACTCGTTGATAAAAATGCTGAAAATTTGAATGATTCAGACAGTACAGGTGAAATGGGTGACATTCTCACACATGTGGGGAAGAAAATGGCGAGAACCACAAAAGATGCTTCGTCAAAGAAAAAAAACTTGTGACAAAGACAGCAGAGCTAGAAAACAAGCTGTGCAGCTAGAACAAAGGTTTGATAAAAAAGTAGATAGGATTTTTTGATTTTTTTTACCAAGTCAAGCTCTACAACACTTACAGGTAGTTGGACTGTGACATGCATTTCTCAAATTGGTGGTTTAGCCATGCAGAGAGAGAAAATTTCTGATAATGTCCCAAATTCAGGGGAATGTAGACTTTTATTATCTTTAAATACAAATGTGGAAAATTTGGGAAGTCATAGAATAACTTACATTGAGTTTGATATGAGATCAGAACTTTCTTTATAACCAGAGTCATGAAAGGTTGATTGATTGGGGTTGTGTTCATCAGATGAGGAGGACTCACATGTAGGAAGTAGCCCTGTACATGAGTTTCAGGCTAGAAACAAGTCAAAAAGAGTTGATAGATTTAGCCAATATTTACACACTCAACCTCTTAGTTATATGTGGTCAATCTGAACAGAAACATAACATAGATAGTAATGATACATTTAAACCGGTGGTTAAACAGACAAACAACTTAAATGTTTTGTCAAAATTGTTTAAGCAATATGTTCCTGTAGAATCATCATATATTTCTAGTGGATTGCTCATTGATGAAGCACAGATTAGAATTTTAGAATTTTCAAGGAGAAGTAAGACTGCTGAAAAATTAGCTACATTTAAAGATGAATATCATAATTGTTTTCCTGTTAATGAGAAATCAATGATTTTTTTGCAAGTTCCAAGTTTGGGCGATTTATTAGAGCCAATGATTAGAACTGTTCATGGGACAAAACCAGTGAAGTCTTGGGATAAACAGTTGTTTTCCCAACCTTTAAAACAAATAAAAAGGTTATTGTTTCAGGGTCAGATGGCTGTACATAAAGCATTATATCAGTGTTGTATATGCAACACGATTTAGCAACCTTATTAGGTAAAGTTGATGATATAACTTTATAACGTCATTTTCTCTCAATTCTCCAGAAAAAAAATCTTAAGACTACCCTCAACTGGTATCTTGGACTGATAAATAATTGGTCAATGAACAAACATGTAGTTGAGGAACTGTTTAAAATCTGGGAGCTGCCTTTGATAGATTTGTTTACTTCAATAAACAATCGTCAGACAGAAATATTTTGTTCTTGGAGCCCACATCCGAATGCACATGCATAAGATGCTCTGACAATTTCATGAAAGAGAATGTTTGCTTTTTATATCCTCCTATTCCGAAATTCCAAAATATGTATGAGGCAGTTCAATTGTCAGATTTTGTTGATAGAGCTCCAATGGCCATTGAGGTACTTGTATTCAGAACTGCTACAGTTATTGATAGCAGTTCCAATCAAGTTACCAGTAATTTCGGAGCTATTGTGTCAACATAAAACACTGATTTCTATCAACAAATGTTTTCAAACAGAAGGCTTTTCTAAAGGAGCTAGAGAGTTACTCTCTGCCTCATTGCGGAGATTACTGCTCAAGATAAAAATAAACTGTTAACACAGAGATATGTCTCGCCTATTTGTTATTTTGATAATGCAAATGTTGAAATTAAAATAGCAATACTTTAACATGTAAGTTATGCAAATATTCAAAGTCAATGAACCATGACTGAAGGAACAGGGCTAAACAATCTCCTTGGAAATGAGATGTGCAAATGCTAATACAACTGCAAACCAAATACTATTGACTTTTCATAAGTCGTTCCCTTTAAACAAACCTAAACACAAACATTAACTTGTAAACTATGTAAAAGTTTCAAAGTCAATGATCCATAATTAGGGGGTGGGGTTATATAATCTACATGGAAATGAAACTTGCAAATGCCAATACATTTGCATACCGAATATCATTGACTTAACATAAGCATGATAAGTGGTTCATCTTAAACTGACCTAATCACTAACAAATACATGTAAACTAAGCAAAAGTTTCAAAGTCAATAGACCATGACTGAGGGGGTAAGGACCAAATATTCTCCATGGAAATGAAATGTGCTAATGCTTATACAACTGCATACCAATTATCATTGACCTACCACTAACAGTTCCCCTTCAACTGACCTAATCACAAACTAATACATGAAAACTAAGTAAAAGCTTCAAAGTCAATAGACCATGAATGAGGGGGGGGGGCCAAATAATCTCCAAGGAAATGAGATATGCCAATGCTTATACAACTGCATACCAAATATCATTGACCTATCCCTAGTGGTTCCCCATAAACTGACCTAATCACAAACTAATACATGTAAACTAAGCAAAGTTTCAAAGTCAATAGACCTTGACTGAGGGGACGGGGCCAAATAATCTCCATGGTAATGAGATGTGCCAATGCTTTTACAACTGCATACCAAATATCATTGACCTACTACTAGTGGTTCCTCATAAGCTGACCTAATCACAAACTAATACATGTACTCTAAGCAAAGTTTCAAAGTCAATAGACCTTGACTGAGGGAGCAGGGCCGAATAATCTCCATGGTAATGAGATGTGCCAATGCTAATACAACTGCATACCAAATATCATTGACCTACCACTAGTGGTTCACCATGAACCAGATCTAATCACAAACTAATACATTGTTGACGCCACCTCTGCCAACACCGGAAACAGCATACCTTAGTCTCGCTTTTTGACTCCGTCAAGGCGACAAAAATCAGTAGCTGGTGTTTACAATAACTTTAAGTCAGATAGCAGATTTCTTATTATATTTAATTGATAGTGGTGACCAAAACAGAACCGTTGCAGGACATCGCTCAAACATTTTGGGGCACAAATCTTTGTTCCTACTTACACTCATTATGGAAGTTAACTGCCCAGAGAGAAATGTGCACCAAAACACAGGTTCTTAGGCTATGTCTACTTATCACCAGTACTGATATACAATCATTGTAATACATACAATAATGACTTACAATTTCCTGTAGTATGAAATCCACCAATAACAAAAGTAAAAGTGTCTGCGAGTAAAGTTTCTTCATCCTGGCAATTTTCTATAAGGATGTCAATCAAAAGTAATTCTCCCTTCTTGGCTGGATTTTTCTTCCTGTGTTCCAATGTTCTTTTTATTATTTTATACAGCTTGTCTTTTGCTACCAATAAACAAGGAATTATATATGAAGGATAATATTTATCCACATCATTATTTTTAAATCAAATCAAATAAAATGCTCCGCTGGGGCGCAGCTTGATACGACCGCAGAGGTCGAACCCTGAACAGTTGGGGCAAGTATGGACACAACATTCAAGCTTGATACAGCACTGAATTTGGATTGTAATTAAATATTTGACACAGCATAGGTTTCTCACACAGAATGAAAGTGGTCTAAGAACTTAAAATTTTTTAATTTACCTTTTCAAACCATATCATTATTATTTGCTTTTATATATAAATCAGAAATAACCAATTTAAAATGGAAAATTTTAAAGAAACTAGAGGCTCTCAAGAGCCTGTGTCGCTCACCTGTATTTACAGATGCTTTGGAAATCATGTAAAATAAGGTTAAAATCATAATTAACAGTATTAGATATTAGATATTATAATGATATCTAAGATAACAAAAAACTGCAAAATTTTTGTAAAATTACTAACTCAGGGGCAGCAACCCAACAACGAGTTGTCAGATTCGTCTGAAAATTTCAGGGCAGATAAATCTAAGTCTGATGAACATTTTTGCCACCTGTCAGATTTGCTCTAAATGCTTTAGTTTCAGAGATATAAACCAAAAACTGCATTTTACCCCTATGTTCTATTTTTAACCAAGTCGGCCATGATGGTTGGAAGGCGGGGTCATCGGACAAATTTTTTAAACTAAATACCCTAATAATGATTATGGCCAAGTATGGTTAAATTTGTCTCAGTAGTTTCAGAGAAGAAGATTTTTGTAAAAGATTACAAAAATTTACGAAAAATTGTTAAAATTTGACTATTAAGGGCAATAACTCCTAATGGGGTCGACTGACAATTTTGGTCATGACAACTTATTTGTAGATCTTACTTTGCTGAACATTATTGCTGTTAACAGTTTATCTCTATCTATAATAATATTCAAGATAATAACCAAGAAAATGCTTCGCTGGGGCGCAGCTTGATACGACCGCAGAGGTCGAACCCTGAACAGTTGGGGCAAGTATGGACACAAAATTCAAGCTTGATACAGCTATGACTTTGGATTGTCATTAAATATTTGACACAGCATAGGTTTCTGACACAGGATGAATGTGGTGTAAGAACTGGAAAAAATTTAATTTACCTATTATGGTGGAATATCCATAAACTAAATTGTTTGTTAATTTCAATATATCAAAGAATATGTAGAATTCAATGTTTGATGTAATGTAATAAAGTTGAAATTTGGACTGTTTTTGTTCAATGTGGACCAATTTGGTAACATGTATAAATAATCAAAAATCTAAATACATGGGAGCCCATTTAAATACATCATAAAGGTATTAAAATAGAAAGTGACATCATAGTCAAGGCTAAAAATAAACAAAAATCCTTAATCAGCAACATTTAAAGTAATATCTAAAAATAAAATTCCTTTGTAACCATAAAAGCCCATTTAAATACATCATAAAGATATTAAAATAGAAAATGACATCACAGTCATGGCTAAACATAGCAAAAAACCCTTAATCAGCATCATTTAACAGTAATATCTAAAAATGGAAATTACATCATAAAGGTATTAAAATAGAAAATGACATCATAGTCATGGCTAAAAATAAACAAAATCCTTAATCAGCATCAGCAACATTTTATAGTAATATCTAAAAATAAAATTCCTTTGTAACCATAAAAGCCCATTTAAATACATCATAACAGATATTAAAATAGAAAATGACATCATAGTCATGGCTAAACATAGCAAAAACCTTAATCAGCATCATTTAACAGTAATATCTAAAAATAAAAATTTCTTTGCAACCATAAAAGTAAAATAGAAAATGACATCATAATCATAGCTAAAAATAAACAAAAAATTTTTTATTGGCAAATTTTAAATGGAGTTTATTATACTAAAACAATAAATTTGCAACCATAAACATGATAAAACCCCATTTAAACACATCATAAAAGTATTAAATAATTCAACTACATCATAAGGCTATAAAAATAGAAAATGACTTCATAGTCAAGGCTAAAGGTAAACAAAAAACCTTCATCAGCAAAATTTTATATTGGCAAATTTCCAATGAAGTTTATTACACTAAAATTGTTGGCAAATTTCCAATGCATTTATTAACAATAAAGTTATTGGCAAATTTCCAATTTACATAATTTAAAAGCAGTGTAGATGAGATATTTAAATGAGTTTGAATTACCAACCTTACACTGCTTTTAAATAATGTTCTTTACTCAATTATTTGTCTATTAAAATGGAAACCCTTGTTTTTTAACCTTTTTTCCCCTTATTCCTTAAACATTAGAGCCATAACCACAACCCCCCCCCCCCCCCCCAAAGCCAATTATTACTTTCCAATGTAACCTAAATTTCCAATATACATAATTTTAAATTTCAATTCCTCATGATATATAACCGTATCATTATTATTTTCTTTCATATATAAATCTGAAACAACCATCTTTAAATGGAAAATTTTAAAGAAAAAAAAAATGAAAAAAAAAATCCTACCTCCCACACATTTTTTCAACCCCCTTTTGATTCATCTTCCCCCACCTCAATCACAACCTTCAATTTGTGGTATGGTACATTGCAATACAATTTCACAGAGATCCATACACTTGAACACAAGTTTTTGTTGCAAACTAAAAAAATCCTTATTTTTGACCAATATTTGGCCCCTTCTTCATAAATGTTTGAGCAATTAACCCCAAAACTCAATTCCTACTTTCTCTTCGTGATAAAAAATAACTAACTTAAAATGTAAATTTTAAACAAAAAAAAAAGGAAAAAAAAAATTACCCCTTTTTTGACCCCCGCCCCCCTTATGATTCATCACCCCCACCCCCCTTTCCCCCCAAACCAAGCTCAATAACAGCCTTGCCTTTGTGGTATGGTACCTTGTAATACAATTTTAGAGAGATCCATACAATTGAACACAAGTTATTGTCTAGAAACTAAAAAATGCTTATTTTAAACCCCTTTTTAGGCCCCTTATTACTAAACGTTTTGGGCAATTACCACAACACTCAATTCCAGCTTTCCCTTTGTGAAATGGAACCTTGTAGTAAAATTTCAGAAAGATCCATACACTTACACACAAGTTATTGTCATGAAACTAGAAAAATGCTTGTTTTTTGCCCCCTTTTGGCCCCTTATTCCTAAAATTTTGAGGCAATTAACCCCAAAATCAATCCCAGCATTGACCCTTTGTGATATGGAATCTTGTGGTACAATGTCAAAGAGATCCATATGCTAACACACAAGTTATGTCTGGAAGTTACAAAAATGCTTATTTTCGGCCCCTTTTTGGCCCCTAATTCCTTAACTGTTGGTACCATAACCCCCAAAATCAATCCCCACCTTCCTATTGTGGTATTGAACCTTATGGTAAAATTTCATAGAGATCCATTCACTTAAACTAAAGTTAGAGTGCGAAAACCATTGTGTATTCGGACGACGACGACGACGCCAACGTCATACCAATATACGACCTCAAAATTTTTTTGCGGTCGTGTAAAAACTGCAAAATTTCCTTAAAATTACCAATTCAGGGGCAGCAACCCACAAACAGGTTGTCAGATTTGTCTGAAAATTTCAGGGCAGATAGATCTTGACCTGATAATCAGTTTTACCCTGTCAGATTTACCCTAAATGCTCTGGTTTCAGAGATATAAGCCAAAATCTACATTTTACCCCTATGTTCTATTTTTAGCCATGGCGGCCATCTTGGTTGATTGGCGGGGTCATCGGGCATATTTTTTAAACTAAATACCCTAATGATGATTGTGGCCAAGTTTGGTTAAATTTAGCCCAGTGATTTCAGAGGAGAAGATTTTTGTAAAAAGCTAACGACGACGACGGACAACGGACGCCAAGTGATGAGAAAAGCTCACTTGGCCCTTATGGCCAGGTGAGCTAAAAAAAGGAAAAAAAAATCCCCCCCAATTTTTTGAACCCCCTTATGATTCATCACCCCCAAACTCAATCCCAGCTTTTTCCTTTGTGGTATGGTACCTTGTAGTACAATTTCAGAGAGATCCATACACTTGAAAACAAGTTATTGTCTGGAAACTAGAAAAATGCTTGTTTTTTGGCCCCTTTTTGGCCCTAAATTCCTAAACGTTTAGGGCAATTACTCCCAAATTCAAACCCAGCTTTCCCTTTGTGATATGGAACCTTGTAGTACAATTTCATAAAGATCCATACACTTACACACAAGTTATTGTCCTGAAACTAGAAAAATGCTTTTTTTTTTGCCCTTTTATGGCCCCTCATTACTAAAATTTTGAGGGAATTAACCTCAACATCAATCCCAGCCTTCCCTTAGTGGTATGGTACCTTGCAGTACAATTTCAGAGAGATCCATACATTTGAACACATGTTATTGTCTGGAAACTAGAAAAATGCTTATTTTTGGCCCCTTTTTGGCCCCTTATTCCTAAACTTTTTGGGCAATTACCCCCAAACTCAATTCCAGCTTTCCCTTTGTGATATGGAACCTTGTAGTACGATTTCATTAAGATCCATACACTTACACACAAGTTATTGTCATGAAACTAGAAAAATGCTTGTTTTTTGCCCCTTTTTGGCCCATAATTCCTAAAATTTGGAGGCAATTACCCCCAAAATCCATCCCAGCATTCCCTTTGTGATATGGAACCTTGTGGTATAATGTCAGAGAGATCCATACACTTACACACAAGTTATGTCTGGAAGTTACAAAAATGCTTATTTTTGGCCCCTTTTTGGCCCCTAATTCCTTAACTGTGGGTACCATAACCCCCAAAATCAATCCCCACCTTCCTTTTGTGGTATTGAACCTTATGGTAAGATTTCATTGATATCCATTCACTTAAACTAAAGTTAGAGTGGGAAAACTGATGTGTCTTCGGACGACGACGACGCCAACGTCATACCAATATACAACCACAAAAATGTTTTTGCGGTCGTATAAAAAGAAG